TTGTAACACATTGTCTTGATTGCGTTGTTGTATTTAACTATGAAAGATAATGTTCACGCTTTTGTCATTTTCCGAAAGCCCTGACTGAAGTGTTAAATACATTAACAATTGTCTCCAAAGTCTTGGTAATGATAAATTAGTCTCGTCTTCGTAATGACACGTAGTTATAGGCACCTCTGCTGATAAAATATCTATCGAAATAAACATACCGTAAAGTAACGTTAGGTTTCCGGCTGACATTTATTTTTTCATAAAACAACATGTCCCAGTAAAGAGATTACTTCTGAGTGTGTCCCTGAAGTAACGACATAGCTGCGACCATGTTTTCACTCACAACCACAAAATATTACTTTTCTTCAATATGTAAGAGGATTTTTTTCCTTCGACGGAATAATACGTCCGCTCTGATCGGAATATAATGCCGTACCGGTATCGGTATTTCATACAATAAGCCTTTAATTTATTTCGTCAACAAAAGAAAAATATTACAATTTGTATTATGTTACGACGTTTTTGTAATGTTAGAATAATCAATATTTACAATTGTTGCTATTTATTAATTATTGCTAATTATTTACGATGCAACATATCACTGTTTTTTTACTATTTACTATAATAAATCTTTGACTAACAAACAGGAATATATATAACACGAAATATTTTATCAAATCACGTCGCGTCACGTTTGACGTTCGTGTGAGATACTGAGCAAGAAGTAACAAACTGTTACACAGTTTAAAATGCTTCATGGCCCGGGGCAACACTTTTAAAATGTTACTCAGTTTGCCTTTCTCTGGGACACAATGGCGCTACTCTTGTTTGTTTCCATACAACTTGTGCACCGCTTTCTGTGTCACGGCTACAGCTGTTGTTAACAAGCGATGAAGAAATGTACCAAGTGTTACAAAAGAACTTTCGGTCTTGTAAAAGCCTGAGCTTGAATAAATTAACATTCCATGCAGCTTTAACTAACCTCAGTGAAGACGGCGAAGCATTTTAAAACTATAGTTGGAGTAAACATAAAGTTACAGTGTATACCATACATATTAAATATATTAAGAAGGTCTAAACCGTTATGTAATTTCTTTAATGTGTTACATTCATTTCCATTTCTTACAATTAATTGCTTATTCAATTTAATGAACGAGCTTTAGGTCATAGAATTAATATATGAGATATTTTACAAATGATACGAGTAGTAATACAATCATGAAAGCTGTTTAATCATAATAAGTAAACATTTTAAATGAATCAACATGGAGTTTTCGTGAGAGAATTAACAAATAGGGGTAGCGGGTTCTCGTTTCTGCCTCGCGCTGTGATAAATGGGTCAACAAGATTTACGGCTTTATTTTCAATTTACACAGTCGTAACATCCCGACCGACCGACCGACCGACGGGGCATTGAAATGGTAAAGTAAAACATATTATTTTATCGTACAATTGTCTTTGTAGCTTTTTTTTATTTTCATCCTGTTGTTTGAAGAAAAAAATCATTCGATAAAGCTATTTAATTGTCTATATTTTCAGGATTTCTGATCTCTTTTAAATAATTGATCGATCGGACATTCCATTTATATGGAACAATTCGTTGCAATATTTTTAAGCAAAGGAAGATTCAATAAACATTATTGTATAATATTATTAATATTTCTAAGGCTAAACGAATCAAACATATAATGTGACACGATACATAAATGAGTTAACTAAACACGTTCCCGGGACACAGGTGTGAGGTGACGTTTATATCCTATTGGCGCGGGATTTGTTCAGTAAAGACGCGGATACATCGCCGCACATTACATAACAGGCATGTATTATAATGAATGTTCATTTTGGAAATGTATGTTTTTCAATTCAGTAAAGCTTGCATCTATTAAATGAATTTCAATAAACCTTAACATATATTTCACGCAGTAAAACCATATGATGATGATCATCAAATCGTCACTATATGTCCCCACTGAGGGGCTCGGATACTACCCTAAGACAGGGGTGACTAGGCCATAGTCAATTAAATTAGGTCATAAATGATAGTACAAATTCAAATAATTAGTTAATGTAACGTCAACATTATAAGCATTTGACATTTGACTTCAAACTTATCTCAAATTACGTCTTTGCAAATAAATGTCGTTATCAATAGTACTAAAATAAAGCACATCAATGTATCAGTTATATTAAAAATATAACATGAAGAGAAGTACACGTAATTACAATAATAAATACACATCATTATTACAAGGGTTTTAATTTATTAAATTGAATTATTCTAAAAGCTATAAATATATTGAATACATTTGCAGAGTTTCTAAGAAAATACTAGAAACAGTTTGATAATAGTATCTTGTGAATATTTCCCGCAAGTTTTCCGGCGGCTTTCACAATAATATTCAATTTCAAAAGAGGCTTCAGTAAGCGCTCAGAATAGTCAGCTCTAACTGACTCACATATTGAGGCTTTTGTTAAAGTTTCTTCCACTCTCCTTGTATTATTTATTTTTGTTGACTATTGTATCTTGTTTAAAACAGTCCCAAGTAAACTAAACACCTAAATATACTCTTAAATTGTTCTAAATTAAAAAAGATCGATGACACTTTTTTATTTACTACATTGCTACGAATTCTAGAAATTTCGAACACGGATTCGTTGGACATATTTTTATATTTGCGATCTTTGAACCTCGAAGCATTTAATTCTCTATAATATCTCTTATCTAATTTATAAAGTCCAGGTAAAGTGCTGCCTTAAATGTAAATACAGACAATAATGAAAAACTTAGTCAAACATATACATAGTTCTTACCTGACTCAAACATCAATAAACGTCTCATTTCGAAACTAAAATATTCCTTATCCTTTGCTCCGAAGTCGAACAAAAGAAGAATAATAATGAAATCATTGACCGGAATCTTTTGTAATATCGCGTCCGACACTAGCGCCACAGTCGCCGGCAAACCGATGAAACTTTTCTCTGCTCCGACACAAAGGAACTGACAAACTTTTTGTCGCCACCCCGCCCCGACCCGCGCCCTGTCACCAACTTTCACTTGAACTTCGTATCTCAACGAAAAGGCATCGAAAAGGCTTTTGTTTAAGTCACTTAAGTCAGTGGATACTGAGTCAACACAAAGATAAATAAGAAAGATAAGTTATTTGTAAAAGTGAATGTTAATCTTGTACAAAAATATAAAACTGTTTATTTTTGGTTTTGAATAAATTTACTTTCAATCTAATAGATTTTGCTGTCATCTTTGTTTTTATGTTAAGTTATCTGCTTATTCTCCTCTCTTCATGTGTATGTTTAACAGAATCTCTTTATTTCTGCAACAGAACACACAATGACTTTCCTATAATAGAACAGTCGATTTCTCGTAACACTTTCCGTTGTCCCGTGTTTGCAAGTAATGGAGATAAATTTGCCGATAAAAAGTTTAAAGTACGTCCTACATCTAGTATAAGTGTAGTGAGAGTTGAAGGTAATGCCGCGTGCTCCATAACGCTTTGTGAAGCGCTGCGCCCGCGGGACGCGACGCTATTTACTTTATATTTGCAGCTAAACGACGTGGAAATTTCCCAATGGAAACTTTACACTACATCATATTAACCTGGAAAACTATTCGAGTGGTTGTGGAAGCCATCATACTGTTCTCTAGACTATTGCACAAACCTTCATCTTTAGGAGTTACTTTGTTATGTTATGTTGCCTATTTATTCAATTATATAAAAAAAAGAAAGTTCTAGTTTCATTTGACTCACTGTAATCTCTGTAAATAGAAAATTGTGATTGTATGTATGTACGTCTATATATACAATTGAATACATTTTAAAACTGTACGATCCTAATAATTACACTATTACATTTGGTTATCAAATGTGCTTTTCATTAATCAAAATCTGGTTTGATTTGTTTGCAGTAGAAATTATTATAACAATTTTGTTTTGAAATATTTTCATTAATAGCAAATAAATGGGAAATTAATATGATTTGATGTTGATACATTTTATCGAATTCGAATTAATTATGTTATCGTGTAAAACCGAAGGTCAGAAATTAGCATATTTAGCGAGACCTCCTCCCGCCGCCGGCGACCGCTGGGAGGTAGTTAGTGGTCAGCCATTAAGGACTTTATCAAACAGTCCCCAAAAACCAATAAACGTAATTTATGCTCCAGTTGAGAACTGTTTATTCTCCGTTACATTTGACCATTGCTCTTATACTTTGATAATCTTACTTATTTTCTTTCTCTCACTTAAGAAAAAAGGAACATTTAACTATCTGAATATTAAAAAAATCGATCTTTACTTCTTCCTATTTAATCGATGAAAAAAAGAACTCAAATGATTTCTGTAATTGGAAATCTATGGAATCTTTGAATATGAGGATTCATAACTTCAATAATATTCAATATCTCCTCTCTTCGTTATCACAGGACTGAAAGTTATTCTCCATTTCAATAAAATGTAGAAATTCTGCCGAAAATTACGTCTAACCAATAAATATTGGTGGCGCAACTCAAATATCTAACTTAGGCGATTCTTATTCGGGGAATTTATTCGGAGCTGCTGTAACTTTGAAGTATTCAATTAGAAATAATGTGCGGTCAAGCATTTCTTTATAATTGGATACTGTTCTTAAGAATAATGAAACCGAAGAGAAGCTCAGCATTCCGCACCAACTGTAACTTAACTTAACTTAACTTAATGAAGTAAGGACGTGATTAATTACTGATCGAGCTCAGACGTCTCACAAAATTAAATAAGCATCTTTGAATACGAGAATCATTTAGTGGACTTCACCAACATTCACAACATTCACATTTTATCTTTTATGAGACCGTGTGTCGGTGATCTTAAGTGCAGTTGCAAATCTTCATTAACTAATCTAGCAAATCGATAATGTGAACTCTAAAAGTTGTTATCAGTGCAAAATAAAAAGTTAATGATATATTATTATATATATTTATGGGACAAATAATAAAGAAATATTGATAACTCACGTCTTTATTTACATATAGCAATCTGCAACATTTAATAAGTGTATCTTATACGAGTAGTTGACGCGACGCGTACGACCCGCGACATGCGACATGCAACCTGCGACCTGCGACCAGCGAGTCAAGCTCTACTCGGAATTGACACGTATGCTTATAAGTACCGAGTGCACTGCGACCGCTGCGCTGGAGCGCGTCATCACACCACCAACTATTATTATCTATCACAACATTCAGTTTGAGCGCATTAGAAGGGGCGCCGGCGCGGGCGCGCGGCGGCCAACAGTGCAGGGGGTCATAACCCCATCTGTAGCGCCGCGCATGAGCATACACATATCAGCACGATGTTATGCAGCGTCTGGATACCTGCAGACAGAACAACCACTGTTAATACTTTTGATGGTAGCTTGTATGTATGTAATGTTATTTGAATGATAAGGCTGGGAATCGGAAGAGGCCTCCAGCGCCCCCACTCATCAGAAGAATTAAAAGAGAGAAGATTACCCGAGGAGTCCTCCCCGGTGACAGAGGCGGGGCGCGGGCTGTCCTCCCTGATGTGCGCCTGTTCGCTGCCGCGCGCGTACACGTCGTAGATGGTGGCCACGCAGCCCAGCGCGAACTGCCCGCTCGCCGGCGCCGACAGCGTGTACCTGCGCTCACAGATCACAGCACTCTTATACAGCTTATATAACGCTCTAGTTTTCTAAATAGAACGAAATTTCGGAGAAGTTAAAAGAAATAGAATCCAAACAAAAGTCCACCTGAGAACTTCTCGCTTTTCGAACTCAGGGTCGGCGCGGTGGGCGAAGTTTTCCCCGTCCCCCGCATGCCCCGCGTACCCCGCTCGCTCAACGCCATACTGCAGGCTCTCGACGATGCTCACTTCCAGCTGACTGAACGCGCCGCGCTCCTTGAAATCCTGCTCCGGCGACTGCCACGAGATTGTCTCAGCTATCTGGAGAGAGCACTAACTTTTATTCGCGCCGAGTCGCACTCAAATTGCTGTAAAACAACTGAAGCGAAGTTCAACTCGAGCAATTCGATCGATGTGTATTGTGTTATGTACTTACTTACATTTATAACTGATGAAATATTCATATAATAGACTTTGATTATTGAGACTGATAGAATACAATTATTTATCAGTAGATTGTGTGAATGTGGTAATAGTCCGATTTTGAAGATTAAGATGTCGGAGTTCCATGAGGTAGTTAGGTATGTATACCTTGTGTCCATCTATGGTCCATGTGATATTAGGTGCGGGGTAGGCTTCGTCCACGGAGCAGTTGGCCTGCAGCAGGTCGTTGCGCGCGTAGCTCAGACGCGACACCAGTAGCCGCGGCGCGCGGAACGGTGGGTCTGAGTACGTGGTATATTGATTATGTAAACGGTAAGTAATCGCACTTTCTCTGAAACTCGGATATTTAAAGCTAATTTAGCAGCTTGGATAACATATAGCTGTAAGCACAACTGACTGACAGCGCCAACTTTAACTTTAACTTTGAACTGGAAGCTGTCGGCGAAAGATCCTTCCTAACTTACAAAGAATAGCCGTACGCATTACGTACCGACGACAGTGAGCGGTGCGGAGCGTATGTCAGTGTGGAAGAGTGGCGCGTCTGCGGACACCTCGCACTGGTAGTCACCGCTCAGCCGCCGGTTCATGTTCACGATGCGCACCTGTTGGTGGTCCGACTGCGCCAACTGATGTACAAACATTGCACTATGTCACAAACAACTTTGCCACAAAATTTAATTTATCCGAAAGAATCAGTTAATCAAAGATATTGAATTTTTAAAAGAAATAGAATAGTGTTTACTCTTAATCATTAAAAAAAGAAAAATTACGAGTAAAAGCTATAATATTATATTGGTGCAATGGCTAGATTATGGCTATGTATGTGTTGAAATGGTTAATTATTCTACAAACATGTGTATTAATTAACCGCACATGCGGTTTCGTTTATACAGTTTATACCAAGTTGATCCACGACTAAAATATGATCGATGTTATGGAATGTAAAATGGTTTATGTAAACCTAAATTGAAGACACTTAACCCTAATGATTCCTACACATCACTAAAAATATATTCTTACATCGACGGAGGCGCCTGGAAGGGGGAAGACCATGGTGGGGGGCATCTCACGCGGCACGTATCTGTAGAATTCATCCTCTGCACGGTACCAGCGGATGGAGTAGAGCGCCGCGCCTTCCAGGTCGTAGGAGCAGCGTAGCAGCGCCGCTCGACCCTCGCCCGATAGCACCGCGCGCGGCACTGATATTGACAGGTTACGTAGCGACCACACGCCGCCTGCACATACATACATACATACACACAATTTATGACGGCTCACCGGACGCACACCTCACATGCTCCTGCGCAGCTCACCCCGAGCCGCCTTAATTATTGAATCTTACAATACACCTAAATACACAACGCAGCTTATTGTTTCTATAGCAACAAACTTTAACGTCATTTGCGTTGTGACGTTGTACTGTAGGTGCATCACTTTTGATGATAGTACTTGATAAATATATGTTTATTAAACGAATAATCATGAGCCGACGTGCAGATTTACAGTATTATCTTCAACACAATTGCGCTGGAAACAATAATATCATCAAAATGAAACATTATAGGTACTCGTAAATAAATTAAAATATAACAACGAGGTTAGAATATAGCTTACACGTATAGGATCATAATGATCAAGTTAAAACTTATCACCAATAAAGCCGAGTCAGGTATGAACAGTAAAAAGTAATACGCGACGCCATATTACTGGTAGATGTGCGTCGAAAGATTTCATCATAAAGATATGCAAATAGTCTGAACATTTACTACATTTTATTACTTTCATTCTTCGTAAGCGTAAGGCTGTGTAAGGCTTCCCAGGCGGCGATATCAAACCACATATGAAGAACTATTTCATAAGACGTAGACTAAAGGCTTAAGGCTTTATGAACATGTTTTATGTAAACCAAGAAAGTGGAGCGAACACAACTTTATATATTTCTTTTTCCTAATAAACGTCTAAGAAAATAATAAAATTTTTCAGTATATAAGCCGATTTGATAATATTTGTAAAATTAATATTTTTACACTAAAGAACAAAACAGCTAGAGTTTATTTTAAATATTGCAAATTGTAAAATATACCAAGTGTAAATGTAACTTTACATTCTCACAGAGTCTCTGAGGGTTTGATGTTAAGATAAAGCATTTTGTAATATCTTTCAAGAGATTACTGTCACATTAAATGTTCCCTCTCTATCCCACTGGAGTTTAAGGACAAGACAATTTCTTCGAAAGAAAATGTCTTTAAAAGAAGTTTTTAGATATTTTCTTGTTTTTTTTTAGTTCAAAAAATATATTTTCTAAAGCATTATTATTAATCTACTAGTTTTCATATTGTATTTAGTATCGATTATTAATAAGTTTTTTTATTAATTAGTATCCGAAATATGAAGGAACATATTAGTTAGTTAGCGCAGAATATGTAATAACGGCGGCCGGTGAACTTGTAACTGAAGGAAGTCAGAACTTTGTACTTTAATGAGATATACAACATGCTCTTGGATTTAATAACCAACTTGTTATTTTGTTGAAAAAGGATTAAACAAGACATTTCAAAGAGTAATGATTTTAGCTCCGGTTCAAACCTAAAGAAATACTATTGAACTTATGTTGAAACTAATTGTATTATAAACAACGTTCTTTGTCAGCGACCTTTTTTATTTATATATTTGAAAATAAATGAAATTAATGCTGAACATCAAATTTTATAATAAATCAAATATTGAAATATGAACAGATAACAAAATAATCTTTAACTATATATTTCCTCACAGACGTAATTTATAAAAGGTTTACAACCTCTGGAGGGTTTTCTCTCTCTCAGCATTTTATATTAATTGTTGTCATAATAAGTTTATCTGAAGGAACCATAATTATAATTAATTTCATAATAATTCAGATTCTCTTTGACATTTTACTTTAGCAACAAAAAATAGATTTAAAGTAGCTATATCCTGGATACGGAGGTTAAATTAAGATGCTGTTAATGTCGTTCAATTTGTAATAAAAGATAACTAACTTTTCAAAGTTACCAAATAAATCTGAAATTTCTGAACAAGATAATTAAATTGTTCATATAAATAAATAAATATATTATGCAACTGATTTTCCCAAAATAGGTAAATATTCTATAAAGTCCCGTTTATGTTATTTCTCGAATTTTCGATTTGTTGGCGAATATACGATAAAATTAATTTAACATTCCATCGTGACTTTTTATTCCATGAATTTTTAGTGAAATATCCATCGAATGGAGCACACTTTTAATTACGACGGCATTTTCCCGGCGAATCTTTAATTAAATTCTTGCAACGTAAAAGTTCCGCTTCAGAAATCCGCAAATCGAAATCTTCTCTTCATCTTATCCGTCCCCAGAGTGGAGTCTCGAGCACACCTTTACCTTTATATGCAAAGGATTCGAGATAAGACATTTTCTGGAAACGTCTATTGAAAAACTATTAATGGAAAACGACTTATAATACAAACTGAGAAAATCGCCATGAATGTGATGAGGAAACCGAGATGAAAACATATACATAACGTTGATATAATCTTTGCCGTTTTATAGCAAATCAGTACCCGGTATATAATAGGTATCATAAGAAAAAGGTCGTTAATAAAGGTGAAACCCAAAAGTAATATCGGTAATATACGTATCCTGTAGGTTGAAAGTATGAGTGATTATTTCAATAAACATGTTATACAATCGGGTGAATTTAGAAAGCAGCACAAAATTTCATTAGGCAGTGAAACGAGCCAATTTCAACGCAGAATAAAGAACACGCAATAAAAAACTCTGGAAAGATTCAAAATAAATTTACCTGTACCGAGACATAAAGCTTTTTTACGATAAAACATTCACTCGCCGAAGTCAGGAGTTGGGAAGTTTGGCCTCAGACAGAATTTACGGCGCGACGGGTACAAGTTTGCCAACAATTCAGTTAGCGAGCGACGAACCGCCGACAAAAAGAGGGAGTCGAGCTCCTTCCCGCAACACACGGAGATGTGCACTTGTTGTCAAGAAAAAATTTGCTGTATTTTTATTGAAAGTAACATTTTTACCACTTGGAAAATAAGTCTGATAGTTGATTAGCTGTCATTCTTACGTTGTCTATTTCCTTAACTGAAACTCTTTGAAGGAAAAATCTTTTTAGATGTAGAATTTTTTCTATAGGATAAAAGAAAAGTTCATTGCTAACATTTTCGTGTACGCGATTAAAATCGTAAAGTAGAGTTAATGTAACATTAAATATATTTAATTGATTTGCTTAAAAGTTCAAATACAAATCAAGGTCATTACAAATTCACTGTTTTACGCTCCCTCTGAACTGAGGGTGATAAGCCTAAAGACGTTATGAAAAAAGATAAAACCGGTATTAAAAGGGGAAGAGTCACCCCAGAGTCCTCTTTTCACCCTCTCACTTAAGCGTAATTGGTTATTTTTTACTCCAAGAACGCTTCTTTATTTTAAAATTCGCAGTGTGTATTATACAGCACCCATTTAAAAATTAGGGGAAAGATGAAGTGAATAAATGTTTAGTAATTTATTAGTTGTTTTATTTTAATATCAATAAATGCTCTATTGTTTATAATTATCTTACTAATATTATATATGCAAAAGTTTACATTGATGGATGTTTGTTTGTTCGTAGGTATCTCAACGGATCTCAATGAAATTTGTTAGAGATGTAGACCATAGTCAGGAAGAACACATAGACTACTTATTATTATTTTATTAACTCCGCGCGCACGGAGTAGCGGGCCATAGATAGTTTTGACAATTTTTATCGTAACTTGTCATTTGTTATTCATTAACAGCGAGCGAAGCAGCGTGTGTGTATTAGTATTATTATAATGAAACGTAAAAAAAAAATATTCTCAAAACAGTACTACGAATATTTTTTGCCGAATATTAAAAAGGTGTTTCAGGAAAAGAAAACGTCATAAGAATAATATTTCCCTAAAGTACTATAATTTACAAGCGACGTAGTTTTCCTTTTAGCGGAGTTCGTAATGGAATTTACAAAGGTTGTTTGTTGCAAGTTGCGCATAAACATTGCTAAGTAAGGTGTTGAAGGCAAGGAGTGACATTTTCATTGCAGTTTTCTATACACAATTTAAAGGTGTTCAAGTACAAGATAACAAACTATCGGGCATGTTACCTACAACACAGAAACATAAGAATAATAATGTACAGGTAACAAGGGTATGATGAACACATTAGATGTCAGTACATCTCAAAGTAGTATTTATTTCTATACAATAAAATATTTATCCTAAATTAGCTTGTGTTTAATTAACTTTTTGAAATATAGAATACATTACAAATGAAGAAATGTAATTTATTTTTATCAAACTACTATATTCAATGGTCTTTTAAATGTATGTTACTTTAAGCACTACGTCCAAATGAGTGTATTCAAAGTCATGAAAATAAGAACAAAATGCCTTGTAATTAATCCCAAATGAAATAAAAAGGGTCGTTGAGCGACGTCAAAGGCATGAATGCAACGCGCGCCACCTAGCGGCTGGGAAAGCGAACACGGAAAACATATGTAATTTAAAGTTGACGTGTGTGTTCGTGTAAGTAATAATTCAATGTGTTAGTGAGAACCTTTTAACTACTTTCATCATTATTTGAAATCGTTCGTCATTATTATTTGTAAGTATTCGTCAGAAGTTTTTGAGTGTTTGTTGTGTAACACGAACAACTCTAGCTCTATTACTTCTGCGCCGTGACATTTGAATTTCCGCGCGCGGGCCGTGGTAACGCGTGACACCGCTTTCAAAGTTATGTCAACCTTGTTTATTCTTATTTCCTTTCGTCGACGCCCGTTAATTAAAAAGCTTATACAAGTTCTGTATTCGTTTGCGCGCATTCTGAGTGACTAATGTACTAACTAATCAGATCAAAATTGTAATGGACTTTATCTAAGGCAAAAATATACATTCAGATTCTGGTATTATAGTTTTGATCTAAATTAATATAATATATTCGTGATTTAATTGTCTTTAAAACAGTAGACATTTGTAAAATGTTAACTAATAGTAACAAGAAAAGTACAAATATAATTACCATCCAGCAAACATTGAAAGAAGAAAATCAGAGCAATTCCTCTCATGAGTGCAAATGTATCACTTGAACTTGATAATTTCTTTTATAAGAGACTGGGGCAAACGAGCAATTTATTAGAACACATTTGAATTCCATATTAAAACTTTCCATTCGGTTAATAACTTTACATCCAAGATAATATTGGGTCTATAGTATCAGTTTCATCCATTATAACACGTGTGTTTGGTATAAGTACCCGCGTGATACTGAGAGCTGCTGAGAGCTGCTGACTTCTACTGAGATCTATGTCACAGTACATCGCTTATCATTTGTGAGTGAGTGAGCGTTTCCCGGCGCTACTTCGTTTAATAAAGTGGACGCTTTGTGTGCGCGGATGCGTGTACATCTCGTATGCTAATTCCGACCTATCTACTTGTTTGTTGCTTTATATTAACTAGGAAAAATGCGGGTTCCGCGTTAAATATATTTGTCCTCCGCACCAAGTTCATTACTTTTTAGCTTTGTTTTCTTTTTTGTTACATTTATTTACAAAATACGAAATGCTTTACATTACATTAATTTTAGAATTTTTTAATGTTTTAAATTTTGAACATTGTTTTGAACCGTGAGACCACAACCATTTTCAAAATAAATGGTGAATTATTGATAAAATTTTGGTAAATATGTTTATTTTGTATGGATTCAGTTTTATCTAATAAATTCCGTTAATGCCGGTGTAATTTTACAACTTTTGTTATAATTAGTTTTCAACAGAGCAATTAATTTTAATATGAACATGTCGAACAGATTAAGCATTTGAATTTCGATTAAACAATGTTTTAATTATATGTTATGAATCAAAACACAAAGCATATTTGCACGATCCAATTTGCACACAAACAGGATTTGCCGAAGCGGTTTCCGAGCTTAATTATCCCGCGTAAATCTGCGGGATACCTTTGCATAATTAAAGATTCCTATGTAATACAAAGCTAAAGCTGTTCAGTGCAAAACATCATTAACTCTTTTCGTGAGAACGTTAAAAATTCCCTGTGATATTTTTTCCTCAGTTTCGCATACATTTCATCTCGATTTACTCATACATTTGGCAAAACACGGCACCGCTTTTAACCATATTTTTTACCCCTCGCCCTCGTAGTTGAGACGCGAGCTTTTGGTCGAAAGCCAAAAAAATAAGAACACGAAGCGAGCGGAACTGAAAGTTGAAATGTCTTGTTATGATGTCGATTGTGTGTATTATTTACGGAAGAGCTTATTCTAAAAGCTTTGCCAAAATACTTTTGCTAAAAACTATCGATGCATTAAATATCGCTGCATTTTTGTGTTTATTTATTTACATAATATTTATTATAAATAAAACTTATTTTAGCAGAACTATCTAAAATCTCACATATAAAATTCTCATATCATAATATTACTTACTATACTCCCTCGAAGCAGCTTCACAGATTTTTATGTAAATTTATATGAATATTCAGTATCTAAATCGGCTTCTATCTATTTTTTAAACCTGCGCGGACGGAGTCGCGGGTGACAGCTAGTAAATACATATTATTAAATACAATTGCATTTCTGAATATGTATAATATGTACATATAAACTGATCTATAATGTTGCAAGGTAAGCATTGATAAACTTAGATTACATTATAAGTTGGAGCGATATTTGATTTGCACAAGTGTCGAGTCAGCGCCACCTGTCGGGGAGTTTGGTAACTATTCATCAATGTAAAGTCCGCGCACTGAAATTGCAATTACTGTGACTTCGCTGAACGTGAAATGTGAATGCATCCGATATAAACCACATTTCACCTGAACTGAGCTCTAATACGTTTACCATTGACATTTGATGTTATTTAATTTTGTTCTTCAAATAGAATTTATATTGTTCCAATTTAAAGTAATATTAAACTTAAACTAATAAACGACTAAACACTTACGTAAATTTGGCGGTGTCGGCACCGATTAGTTTCGGGCCCATCGAGGGCCTTTCGTGAGGGGGAGTGAACTAGTCGGTGCCGACACCGGACAATTACACGTGTGTGTTTTAGTCGTTTATATAATAGTTTCTGATAATGCCTCACGAAAGTTTGAACAATTTAATATTTAACTTTGCCGTAAATATTGTAGTAATGACTGAATTGTGCTTGATTTTATTTTCTTTTTAATTTGTGTATGTACTTAGTGTATAGAGCACAAACCTGTACATCTCCCATGTGTACTTAACCTACATACATACATCTGAGACGTGCCGCTCATGACCTACACTTGTAATAAGCTTAATTTTGTTTAAATTGTTATACTTTCATGTTTGTGAATAGAAATAAAGAATTATTAAATTGTTCTTAAAACACACATCTACATGTTTAATTCGGTCTTTTATATTTATATTTTTACGTGTTCTAGTTTATATGTAAGTACTAAAGTTTTTGATCCCGTAACGTAGGCAAGCGGCCACCAGAATTCACCAAAATAGTGATTGACCGCTTTCCATGTACGGATACGCGTTGCCTACCTTTAATCGATGGAGGAGGATATACACATAGAGAATATTTCCCTTGCATATGTATTCCCTAACTTTATCACTTTTTTTAACAAAAATATAAATCTCTTTCTACTTTTATTTTTATACAAAAAAACATTAATACCACGTCACCGTACTCTCCGATTCACGTGGCTTAAAATATAAAACATTCTCTGAGCTCCGAAAACGTCGCAGCGACTGACAGGTTTCGCGACATCCCACAAATGTTCAACAGAAAAGTAGATTCTACGAATCGGAATATTATAAGCTCAGAATTCGCAGAATTTATATTTTGTTATATATGTTACGTATTACGTGAACTTGCTTCAGGTATGTTGCTGAGGTTTGTTCTTTGTGCGAGGATTGTAACTGTCGTTGTATATAATATTATACGTCATAAATAAATTAAATAATATTTGATTACTTTCTTAACGTCTTTTTGTAAAAAACTTAAAGATATTTTTCTATAGATTGATTTTAATA